ACGGCCATCCGTACGTACGACCACCTACTGGTATACGATCCCTCGGACTGATCGATTTTTTCTCGAGTTTTTCTCGAACGTTACTTCTTATTGATGTATTATAAGACTTTCGATCGGAAAAAACTTCATCCCGTACGATGATTTTCCAAAGTTGATTCGGGACTTACTATTTCCTCGGCCATCCGTACGTACGGCCACGTACTGATCGACGATCCCTCGTACTGATCGATTTTTTCTCGAGTTTTTCTCGAACCATACTACTTCTTGATGTAATTTAAGACTTTCGATCGTAAAAAACTTCATCCCGTACGATGATTTTCAAAAGTTGGTTCGGGAATTACTATTTCCTCGGCCATCCGTACGTACGGCCACGTACTGATCGACGATACCTCGTACTGATCGATTTTTTCTCGAGTTTTTCTCGAAATTTTCTCCTTATTGATGTATTTTAAGACTTTCTGTCGTAAAAAACTTCATCCCGTACGATGATTTTCAAAAGTTGGTTCGGGACTTACTTTTTCCTCGACCATCCGTGCGTACGGCCACGTACTGATCGACGATCCCTCGGAATGATCGATTTTTTCTCGAGTTTTTCTCGAACGTTACTCCTTATTGATGTATTTTAAAACTTTCGATCGTAAAAAACTTCATCCCGTACGATGCTTTTCAAAAGTTGATTAGGGACTTACTATTTCCTCGGCCATCCGTACGTACGGCCACGTACTGATCGACGATCCCTCGGAATGATCGATTTTTTCTCGAGTTTTTCTCAAACGTTACTCCTTATTGATGTAATTTAAGACTTTCGATCGTAAAAAACTTCATCCCGTACGATGATTTTCAAAAGTTGGTTCGGGAATTACTATTTCCTCGGCCATCCGTACGTACGGCCACCTACTGGTATACGATCCCTCGGACTGATCGATTTTTTCTCGAGTTTTTCTCGGACGTTACTTCTTATTGATGTATTATAAGACTTTCGATCGTAAAAAACTTCTTCCCGTACGATGCTTTTCCAAAGTTGATTCGGGACTTACTATTTCCTCGGCCATCCGTACGTACGGCCACGTACTGATCGACGATCCCTCGTACTGATCCATTTTTTCTCGAGTTTTTCTCGAACCATACTACTTCTTGATGTAATTTAAGACTTTCGATCGTAAAAAACTTCATCCCGTACGATGATTTTCAAAAGTTGGTTCGGGAATTACTATTTCCTCGGCCATCCGTACGTACGGCCACGTACTGATCGACGATCCCTCGTACTGATCGATTTTTTCTCGAGTTTTTCTCGAACGTTTCTCCTTATTGATGTATTTTAAGACTTTCGATCGTAAAAAACTTCATCCCGTACGATGAGTTTCAATAGTTGATTCGGGACTTACTATTTCCTCGGCCATCCATACGTACGGCTACGTACTGATCGAAGATCCCTCGGAATGATCGATTTTGTCTCGAGTTTTTCTGAAACGTTACTCCTTATTGATGTATTTTAAAACTTTTGATCGTAAAAAACTTCATCCCATCTGATGATTTTCAAAAGTTGATTCAGGACTTACTATTTCCTCGGCCATCCGTACGTACGGCCACGTACTGATCGACGATCCCTCGGAATGATCGATGTTGTCTCGAGTTTTTCTCAAACGTTACTCCTTATTGATGTATTTTAAAACTTTCGATCGTAAAAAACTTCATCCCATCTGATGATTTCAAAAGTTGATTCGGGACTTACTATTTCCTCGGCCATCTGTACGTACGGCCACGTACTGATCGACGATCCCCCGTACTGATCGATTTATTCTCGAGTTTTTCTTGAAAGTTGCTCTTTAGTGATGTATGTTAAGACTTTTGATCGTAAAAAACTTCATCCCGTACGATGATTTTCAAAAGTTGATTCGGGACATACTATTTCCTCGGCCATCCATATGTACGGCTACGTACTGATCGTGGATCCCTCGTACTGATCAATTTTTTCTCGAGTTTTTCTCGAACGTTACTCCTTATTGATGTATTTTAAGACTTTCGATCGTAAAAAACTTTATCCCATACGATGATTTTCAAAAGTTGATTCGGGACTTACTATTTCCTCGGCCATCTATACGTACTGCTACGTACTGATCGACGATCCCTCGTACTGATCGATTCGTTCTCGAGCTTTTCTCGAACGTTACTCTTTAGTGATGTATTTTAAGACTTTCGATCGTAAAAAACTTCATCCCGTGCGATGATTTTCAAAAGTTGGTTCGGGACTTACTTTTTCCTCGACCATCCGTGCGTACGGCCACGTACTGATCGACGATCCCTCGTACTGATCGATTGTTTCTCGAGTTTTTTTCTCGAACGTTACTCCTTATTGATGTATTTTAAGACTTTCGATCGTAAAAACTCATCCCGTACGATGATTT